CTAACCAACCCGCCAAATAACTAACTCAATCCAACCAAAAAGAGTGAAACCAATGCAATAAGATCACGCTATAAGCAAAAAAAAATATAAAAAAGTCTTGGTCGACGTGAGATTTGAACCACGGTCCGTTCGCTTACGAAGCGATAGCCTCAGCCACTGACCCACAGGTGCTCTTGCTAAACGCTTAAGGCTAGGCATTACTTTCCGCCGACATGAACGACGTCACAATATCTATTAACGGAATTTTAGTAGGCTACCGTTTAACGGCTGTTTAAGTACATCGTTAAAAAATTATATTTTTTATTATTTCTGACAAAAAGAGCAAGCATAAAAAAACTGACTACGCCACTGGATTGTGCCTAAAAAAGTGCTTGCTATAACGTTTTTACAGAATTTTATTATTCCGCAAAATAAAAAAGTTATGGGCAATTTTCAAAATGGTAAAAAATTCAAAAGGACCCCGTATCTCAGTTGGCAGTGAAAATATCAACAGGCGGTTTACGCCATTAAACGTTTCTCAGAAATCGAGCCCATGACATCTACGTCGGTTTTGCTCTATCTAGTCAGCAAATAGGTTTCCTCTGTTAAAACAGACCAATTTCGACCACCCTATACATATGTAATTATATAATATTTTATATGGTCTTACTATTAGACTTTAAATATGTATACTATAAATCTTATAACAGTATTTTATCTAATTTATTTCCTTTTTTTCCAGATCCTACATTTAGAGAAACCATACAAAAACCATGAGGACTGTACAAAATCAAAGTGATAATACTATTTACAAGGATGTGATTGTCATTGGTAAGAATTTATTTTACCACTAGCGTGTACCAGCGACTTCGTTCGCGTCGAATTAATCATTTGTAATGAGAATTAATCATTTGTAATAAGGTGATGATAAAGCAAAGTAAGAATTTCCATTAACATTCAAACTGGATAAAATCTTCTCACATTTATGTCAGCATGATAAAAAACAATATGGCGATATTATTATATAACTTGGTAATATTTGAGGGAGTTTCATGTCGTTGGAATTTCACTCTCGAAAAATCCGTTTGCCAAAAATAAGCTTTTTACGTCAAACAGTTTAAGCAGAATCTCATCAATTACCCAACTTTTTGAAACACCCTGTATGGTTTTTTAAAAAATTTCAAAATATGTAAAAAAAAACAAATAAATTATGCTTGTCCAAGCGTTTTCCCAAAAGTCTAACCGTTTTTTAAATAACAAATATTGTAATATTTGAGGGGCGTTTTCACCCTCTTGGAATTTGAGATTCGAGAACCCCTCCTTATCGAACTTCTACACCCCACAGTCAATCCGTTTGCCAAAAATCAGCTTTAAACGTCAAGCAGTTTAAGCAGAATCGTATTTACTCAACGGTCATATTTTATGAAACACCCTGTATAAATTATAAAAAAATCTTAAAATATGTAAAACAACAAAATAAAATACGTGTTTAAGAGTTTTTCCGAAAAAAAAAAATATTTTAATATTTGAGGGATAGTTTCACCCCCTTAGAATTCGAGTTTCGAAAAATCCCTTCTTATCGAACCTTTACACCCTAAAGTCAATCTGTTTTCCAAAAATCAGCTTTTTACGTCAAGCGCTTTAAGCAGGATCGTGATTAATCAATGACCAGATTTTTCGAAACACCCTGTATACATTTTAAAAATCTTAAAATACAAAAAAAAAAATATACGTGTTTAAGCGTTTTTCGGAAACTTGACCGTTTTTTAAATAAAAATATTGTAATATTTGAGGGGTGGTTTCACCCTCTTGGAACTCATTTCGAAAAATGGCATCTTTCGAACCTCTACACCCTAGAATCAACCTGTATGCCAAAATTGAGCTTCTTACGTTGAGTGGTTTGAGCAGGGTCGTGATTAATCAGTATGTCAGTCACTTAATGAATTTTATATATTAGTATATAATATATGGAAATTGATTATGCTTATTTAATTACCTGTTAATCTGAAGCATCTATTGAAGCAACTATTTAAAAAGAATTTTGCTAATAATTGATTTATACAAAATTCTTTAGATTTTATTTACACTTAAGATATTTCTATATAATTTTGTTTTTATATGTCATGTATGTTTTTCAAAATATATAAGTGGATTTTTTATTAAAATATTAGAAA